GAGGGTCAAGAAGATCTGATGTTTAATGGCACACACTCTGCTTTTATGAGATTCTGCCCATGCAAGGGAGACACCCACATAATTAGCAGTATAACCAATCGGAACAATATACATTCGGGGAAATTCCCATCCCTCAGATAATCTCATAACATAATTAAAACAGAACAGTTTTTCCCCATACCCTGTAACTTTAAAACCATACATCCAATCTTCATACATTTACATATTTGGAATCAATCCATTCAGGGGAGCAACATATTAAAAAATGGCACAAATCAGACAAGGGGTTCAAAAGTTAGTAAAAAGTATCTTTTGTACCCTGGCTGGCAGCATGGCTATCTGGCTCAAACTGGTTTTACAGAGGCCTCTATCCTGGACAATGGAGAAAGTAATCCAATTATCCAGGGATAGAGGCAGACTCCATTAACCACATGTTAGCAAAAGACACAAAAAGACACAAAAATACATAACTCTTCTCATACTGAACAGAACCCCCACATTCAACCTATCCCCAGATGGCTTGGATCTGAGCGCTCAATATATCCAAACAGCGCTCAGATCCCACAAATACAGTCAAATCGCCATACACACTAGGTCCATAGTCATGGTGCAGAAGGCTGGCAATTAGGCTTCTCCATAACACAGGGAAGCAGGGCAATTTGTCAAATAAAATAACAGTTACAAATGGCAGTCTGTAACAATACCCTTTAAGATTTTTTGATGGGGTATGATGACAAGAAGGGAGTGTTGTTAGGGAAATTTGTGAGGCTGTGATGCTGCACCTCCGTGCGGTATTGTTTAATGGTATTTTTGGGAAAGTTTTAAATGTAAGTGGCAAAAAGAGGCAAAAGCCACCATAGTTTGGGTAGAAAAATTACCTTGTAATCCAAATTCAGCTGTGAATTTATTAAAAAAGGTAAGTGCCCTACTGTAGGTGATAGTTGTGTTAGGTGATAGTGCTTGGTGCGTAAGAGTCCTAGCGTGGTGCATTAGTGCGTTCAATCCAGTATTAGTTTGTGAAACCTCGGTGTCCTGGATGGTTGACGGTGGGCCGAAGGGAGTGCCTGTAAGAATACCTGGAATTGAGATCGAGTGGCCGTGTTGTGGATACTCGGGATGTGAAAGCAAATTAAGTGGAACTGGATGGTTGCTGCCAGCCAGGTCAGCTTGCGAATCAGCCGCATGATGGTAAGGAAGGAAGAGCGCCCCTTGTTAATGATATTGCAAGCTGACGAGTAGTCGGAATAGCATTTTACTGCTTTGCTGGGCCATAGATGACCCCAGGTGTGTGCGGCTGCCACGATGGGGTAAATTTCAAATAGGGATAAAGTCTCTCTGAAACCCAGCAAGGCATCCATCTCAGTGGGCCAGTGACACCTAAACCAGTGATTACTGAATATAGCTGTGTGAAGGAAGGGTGAGGAGTCGGAGAGAGGGGGAATAAACATGGAGATACCGTTCCACTCAGCCAAAAACTTCCCCCAGTTGAGTAGGTCAGCTTTGGCGTGCTGGTCCAACACAAATGGGCAGGCGTCCGGTACCCCATGAAGCAGACAAAGAAGCCTGGACATGAAAGACCTTCCCTGTGCAATGATGCGCATCGCGAAATTCAGGGACCCCAAAAAGGACTGAAGTTCCTTCCTGGTGCATACATCATTCTGCAGAAACATGTCTATCTCCCCTCTCAAGCGGACCAGTTTGTCGGGGGGAAGGCTGGCACGGAAGGTACCAGATTCCAGCTCTATCCCCAAAAAGGTAAGTTTAGTAGTGGGGCCAATCGTTTTAGAGGGAGACAAGGGTACCCCGAGAGTAGAGAAAAGTGCTGAGGTACTGAGGATATCGGTGGGTGGGTGTGCGTGCACCCGGTTCTATTATGAGGAAGTCATCCAAATAGTGAATGATGGAGTGACACCTGAGAATGTTCAGAAGCAGCCAGCATAGAGTTTCTGCGAAAATATCAAACAGTTTAGGGCTGCTTCTTGACCCGAAAGTGGAAAAATAGTACCTGTCTCGCCATTTAACACCGTGCAAGTGCCAAAGTGATTGGTGCATGGGCAGTAATTTGAATGCATTGGTTATGTCCGTTGCTACAAGTTGAAATGATGTATTGTATAGCGTCATCAATTTTTAGGTACTGTAATGAAAATTCGCCTGCGGATATTAATGAGTTAATGCTGGGAACAAAAGAAGAGTGCGGTGCCGAGATATCGATAATCATGAACTTTTTATTCAAGTATTTGTGCACAGCTATACCAATGGGATTAGTGCGCCAGGAGAAAAAAGGTGAGGAGGTGAAGGGGCCGATCATGAAACCTTGTGCTATTTCAGCGGAAAGGAGAGCGTCCGTGGCTTCTGGGTCTTGGCAGACTGATAGGAGATTGTGACATTCCAGCGCACCTGGGTGAATGGCTACGAGACCAGTGAGAAAGCCCTGGGTGAACCCTGTTGACAAATATTCCACTAGATGTCTACTTGGATGAGTTTTCAAGTAAAAAAACAGGTTGTCGATATTAATGTCGGATAGTCATTTGTTAGGGGACAACCTGGCCGGGCACATGGTCTTCGTGTGTGCCCTGAAGCAGATAGAGCAGATGTGCAACAATCTACAGGCGCTGAAGCTGCAGGAACCTGCATTGAAATTGTTGCACACCTGAGCTACCCAGTTTATCCCGTTGACCACCCTCTTGTTTATTGTGAGGGGTGGAAGTGGATTGAGGGGTGGGAGTGAGGGTGAATGGATCAGCCACAGAAGGGCACAAATCAGCCAAATGGGTTGAAGAATTACATATAGCACAAGACGGGGGCATCAGACCAGCGAAGTGGCGACAGAATAATTCTGTATCCATCTGACACCAGTTAATTCTTTTGTTAAACTGTTTCAGATGTGTCGCCGCTTTCGCTGATATTGATTTATGATCATCATAAAAATATGAGTCCCCGTACTTGATAACCAAATCCACCACTTTATGGAGATAGAGGTCCAGTTCCTCTCTCCTGTGGGGATATACCGAGCAAATTACATTGCAGTATATCCCAAAAGCCAAAACGAAATTTGGAATAGATAATTTTTTGTGAAGCCTAGGGTCTCTGGTTTTAAGCACCACAGAAAAATCCCCGAAGTTATAAGCCTGGTTCTCCAGCACGTCTTGGGAGGCTATAAGCAATGACACCAGACACACATCCTTCCCATCCAGGATTTCTTTCCTAATGGAGTCTGGGACGGAGTGAGCTGGTGACACGAAAGGTGACGTATCTGAGGCAGGAGCTGAAAGGGGAAGAATAGGAGCGGGTGTTGGTGCAGCAGAGACTGCTGGGGTGAGGACTGAGAGGCCAGGGAGGTTACCTGGGGAGGTGATGGCAAGGTCTGCAGGTTGGCCAGGATTGCCTCAAGGGTGTCCTGGGTGGCTGTGCAAGTGCCAGATGGTTGCCCTTGAGAGCTAGTGCCTAGCCTAGGCTCGGGGGCCTGATAGGTCAAAAGTCTGTAGAGTTCCGCCTTTCTAGCCATAGCTGGGAAGGGGATGCCCCTGAGCCGTAATTTTAGGAATAGTCCATGCTCTCAAGGACATAGGGGTAGAGGGGGAGAGATTCGCCTGGAGACTCTGATAGGAGTAAACGGAATCTCATAGTTAGGCAACTCATCAATGGAAGCCAGATCTTGAAACATTCTAGAAACAAATTAATGAACTGGATTTAGTAGGGGCGTATGAGAAAATGAAATGAGGTGGGGTGGAGGGGGGTTCCTAAGGTGAACTCGACTGTAATGCTATTGCTGAAGCGAAAATTTTTACTTTGACTAGTGACAGATGAGGCCCCACTAGTGCCAACTGGCGGTGAAAGGCTCTATCTATGATTTGGCCGAATTAAGTACGTGGCCACAGATGTGGTGGCATGATGTTGGCCTCTCGATGACATTTAAGAGATTCAAAACGTGTGGCCGTGGAAAGTGAGGCCCTGACTACGGCCCTGTAGAAGGCCGAATGAGGCGTTTAACTATGATTTGGACGTGGGGCCGTACCTCCCTTGCGGGACCTGTAAATGCCTCGGTGAGCTAGGTCCAGAGCCCAGACCCTGTAAGCCAGTTCACGCACCATCTATGGGGTAAATTGGAAAATTATGGAATGGGTGGATACTAACCTTGTTAGTGGTTATACCCAGGAACTTGAACCTTCGAGTATTTTTCAAAGAGAGACACAGCGGTTGGTGATATTGTAGAAGAAACCTAAGGGTTTGAGACAGATGTACATCTGTGTGAGCATGACGTACAAGTGCAACGTGAGCTCCTGGGGGGTCTGAACGGGTGGTTCGAGACGAGTAACAAGTATAGAGTGAAGGCTGCCTGAGGCCTTGATAAACAGTAACTGAAGTGAAATAAATACTATACCTGGATTGTAGGGCAAGAACCAGGGTTTTTAGCAATTTAGTTGTAATATATGACAAAACGGGCGATCTGTGGAGACCAGAGAAATTTTAACAGAGCTAAGATTAACACCTGCACGTAAAGAAATTGTATAATATTTTGTAATTAGCATTTCATGGTTAACAGCCAAGTACATTAGATTGCTGCTACTGCTAGGGTTTAGTGCATGTAATACATAAAGAAAAAGAACCAGCCAATACCATTAAAAAAAAACACTAGGTGGCGATAACAGTACACTAAACTTGGCATATGAACTGACACAAGAGAAAATGGAAAGCATGAATGAAAGTTTACAAACAGAAGCACTATGCCGTGAACACTTTAATTAATTATGGCATCCTTTACATATTCAGTTTAGTAGTATAGCCTCTGCTATAACAGCAGAGGCTAACCCAATGCGGATTCACATGCACAATTGAGAACCCGGGAAACAAGAGTATCGTTTAACCGAGCCGGTACGTGGTATGTATGAAAGGGTAGTACCGCGAACCTACAAGTCCGTGGGGGGGGGGCATGTCCCAAAATTGATCCCGAGATGCCTTAGTGTGGGGACCGTGAGTGGTCTCCGATAAAAGTTACCGCCATGTGCGTGGAGGGGACCGGAATGCAACGCAAGTAAGACTCACGGTTTAGAAGTCAGGAAGCAAAACCGCAGATAGGACGGAGGATTCTGCCGGAGACTGCAGCTGACAGACAGAACGCCTGGACCGGAAGTCAGGCAAACCGGAAGTCGAACAGCAACAATTGAACTTGAACGTCAGAGGTGAGTAGGGGCTGGGAGTTTAAGTAGGGGACTTACTCCTCCCACAAATTCAGGTCTAATGGCCTTTATATATATATATATATATTTTTTTTTTTTTTTCATGAATAAAGCTATAAAAATACAATATTGGAACAAAGTGATTTAGTGTAATCACTGTAGCTACTATTACCAGTGTTTTAGTCACTCTAAAAACACATACAAACAGGAAAACCACATCACACAATAGGTGAGAGCTAACACCCCACACAATGAACACTACCACTTAAAATCTTGAAGGTAGTAGATACTTTCACTTATGATCTGCAATGAAACATAAAACATAGACCACATTGTAGTATATTAAATCCAAATATAATAAATAAGACCAAATTGCTCCAACTCACATGTTGCTGAGCCTATTAGTTAGCAGGCTCAGACTGTCAGCTCTCTTTACAGGTATAACCTCTGGATCTCTGTTCCCAATAAGAATTTTCACCAAATCCTTTTCATCCACGCTAAAAACAGTTATAACTTGGTAGTTCAGTTGCAGATTTGTCCTTGCAACTGTTGTATTCTGCCTATGTTTCCAAGTCCTGAAACACAGCTCTAGTTTCAGTCAACGTTGTACACAGGGTGACCAGATCCACCGTGTTTACAGGGACCCATCATTTTGTTATATTTATGAAAACGCATTAAAAAGGGTCACCCTGCAGTATGTATAATGCATATTCTGCAGGACTCTTCATTGCACCTTTTTCTGATTTATACATACTACAGAGCTACCATTTCCATGTGCTGCCCATCGATATGCATATTCCAGTGGGTTTTCACACGATGGGGGAAACTAGTTTGCATGCGTATTAGAGATTCCCCATAGAAAAGTATTGAATCAATGCTTTCCAATGAAAAGTTGGAAGACGTTACACATCCTCATGCAAAGGAAAACGTTAGAGACCAGGAAGCGCCTCTAGTGGCTGTCTGGTAGAACATTGCAGTTTCTCTTTTTCTCAATTCAGTGTTTACATTGCAGGGTTAAGAGGACAAGGACACTTCACTAAGACAATGAGATGAAGTGGTCTCAGTGCCTATAGTGTCCCTTTAACTCTAACCTTACCTTTCCATAGTAAGATTGCTTTGTTTATCAATATCACTTAGTACAGGTATTTCTTTTACTTTAAGAACCCCCAGTCAAATTTAGAATGTGCATTCGTTTTCGTACAAATACGATTTCGTCCAAAAATTCAGATTTTTTTCGTATTCATTTACTAAAACATAAACGAAAGCACCCCATACAAAATATAAACGAAATGAAAGGGCAAAGGCTAAATGCCTTACCATTTCATTTGTTTAATAGACACCGTGCCGCAGGGGAATTAAACCCCACAGCACGGAAATATAACACTGTGCATGCGCGACAAAAAAAAACAAGGAAAACACGGAGGGAGCTGGCAGTGCTACCAGTTCCCTCCTTGTAATAAATAATTATTCCTACCCCCCCCCCACCCCCGCATTAAAACCTATGGGGGTCACTTTGACCCCCATATAAAAAAAAAAGGGAGGTTAAATGTCGCCTAAACAGCAAGCAACCAGTAGCTGCTCGCTGTCATAAAACTAAATATAAATCAGTATGGGGGTCACTATGACCAGCGGCATGTTGCAAGTAGGGGCATGATGCCTAAACAAATTTAAAAGTACTAGTGACTGGGAAACACTAATAACTAAAATGTGGGGGGGGGCATAGTGCCCCCCGCACCCCCACCCATAACACGTGAGTGGAGGGTATTAATATAAATGGGGGGACCTAATGTCCCCCCTGGTCCCCACCCATGAATGGTGGGTGGGGACCCTAATTAAAGGGGGGACCTAATATCCCCTCTGGTCCCCGCCCATGAGAGGCGGGTGGGGACCCTAATTAAATAAATAATGGGGGGAACCTAAAGTCCCACCATGGGTGGGGACCCTAATTAATTAAAGGGGGACCTAATACTTGGAAAGTATTCCAAGCCATGAGCGGTGGGTGGGGACCCTAATTAAATAATGGGGGAACCCAATGTTCCCCAAAATTTCACTGGTGCACATGTCTAGTTAAATTTATAACTTTGTCCTCTGTCTTTCATTTTACCATCCAGCCTTATCTCCAGCTTCTATATTGATACATTTCTAGCCTTTCTACCCCATCCCATATCTCAAGCTTCATCTCACCCCAGTCATATTTTCAGCTATTCCCCTCTTTCTCATCCAGTTCATATTGTGAAATCTTTGCCCCAATAAATATCTTCCAGTTCTTCCTTTAGCCATATTTATAAACCTATTAATTCTACCAAAGTCTATCTTTCCCCCAATGTGTCCAAAGCGCCCAATGTGTGCATGCCTCTCCTCCCCTAGATTCCTAGCCATCAAGGCTCCTATCCATTTTCCTTTAGAGTAAGTGGATGGCTGTTTACCTGGGGAAGAGATGAAGGCAGCATGCACTATGGGAAGAAGGTAGGTTGGCGGAGGCAGGGTTATACTCTGGGCATGTTCTGCAGGGAAACATTCTGTCAGGTACTGGCATTCATGTGGATATTACTTTGACACATACCACCTACCTATAGATTGTTGCTGACCACATACACTCATCCATGGCAATCGTGTTCCCCGATGGAAGTGGCCTCTTTTAGAAGGATAATGCCCCAAGCCACACTGCAAATATTGTTCAGGAATGGTTTGAGGAACATTACAGTTCAAGGTGTTGCCTTGGCATCAATAATTCTCCAAATCTAAATCTGATAGAGCATTTGGGGGATGTGTTGGAACAGCAAACCTGGTCCATGAACTTAAAGGACGTAAAGGATCTGCTGCTAATGTCTTGCTGCCAGATACCACAGGACATGTTCAGAAGTCTTGTGGAATCCATGTCTATGTTTTGGCAGCATGACAGGGATCTACACTATATTAGGCAGGTGGTTTTAATGTTGTGGCTGATCAGTGCATATATATGTATTACATTTAACAAACATAACAGTTATAGTTAAATTGATATATTGATATAAATTGATATATATTTTCAGCTTGTCATTCTGTATTACAGCACAATTTATCTGAGAAAGCAGAAAGATTTTTGCAAGGCAATTTGGAGGAATCTGTCAAAAAATGCCAAGTTTTGCTTGAAGAGTTAAATAAGCCTTTAGAGACGGGAATAAGACAACGAAAGTATTCCAAGCCTGGGGGACATAATATATTCAAAACTGAAATGCAGAATTTAATTGTATCTTACCAGCAACACCCTGGCAAGGGTATGAAGGTAGGCACCTTGTGTAAACTGCAATGTTAATGTAATATCATTTTTAATTAGCAGTGAGATTTCATGGCTAAACCAATACACAAACACAAATATATTTTTTTGCAATTTTATATAAGCGATAATTTAAGGTATTCTCCAGAAGATTCTCATAATCTGCCATGGTTATTAACAAAAATGTAGAAATGCTATGCTTTCTGTTAAGAAGAGAACTTACCATGGGCATTCCATCCTGGCTGACAGGCAGGAGGGGGTGCACAGAATTCTTTCTAGTATGGCCAGCGAACTATGGTAGAGCCAGGGACGTATTAGCCGCGAGGCAAAAAAAGCCTTGGGCTGCATTTTTCAGGTGGAGGCAAAAAAAGGCGAGGGACCACTGATTAGTGAGCTCCCTCACCAGCGCCGCCCTCCTGCCCAGCAGCCCCACTGGAACCCAGGGAAAGGGAGAACATCCCTCCCCCCAGCATTCCCAAAGGTAAGGAGGCTGGGGGGGTTGAATTAAAAAAGAAAAGTGAGTGTGTTAATGTGAGTGTGTGTGTCTGTTAGTAAGTGTGTGTGTGTCTGTTAGTGTGTGTGTGTCTGTTAGTGTGTGTGTGTCTGTTAGTGAGTGTGTCTGTCAGGGAGTGAATCTGTGAGGGGGTGTGTTACTATGTGTGTGTCTGTTAGTGAGAATGTATGCGTGTCTTTTGGTGAATGTGTGTGTCTGCTAGTGACTGTATGTGTCTGTTAGTGACTGTGTATGTCTGTTAGCTAGTGTATGCCAGTCAGTGCCTGTCAGTGCCTGTCAGTGAATGTGTGTGTGCATTTAGAAGGCGGGGCATGGGGGAAGTGTGGAATAGCGCTGGGGGGAAGGGCGTCTGAGTTTTGTCATACCTAGGACAGCACAAAACCAGGATACACCACTGGGTAGAGCACAGTGTACTGTGAGTGGAGGAGGTGAAGATATGATACCAAACAGGACAAAAATATTCTCTAATGCTGCCTGCAAGGCCATACTTTGAAGAGTGCAATAGACATAAAAGTGGGGGAGTAGTTAAAGACACCGAAGGGGGAAGTAAAATACACACAAAGAGGGGTTAGAGACACAATAATGAATAAGATGGAAAAAGGGGAATACAATACACAAAAAAGGATTAGACACAAAAGGGGCAAAAAGATGGGTAAAAAACTTAAAAGGAGCAAGAAGGGGGATAGGAGGGATAAAAGGGGTGAGGAACACAAATGGGGGAAAAAGACATAAAAGCAAAGAAAGAAACACAAAATTAATAACATTGGAAAATAAATACAAAAAGGAACTAATGTCCACAAAAGTGGTAAAAAGGGGTAAGAGATACAAACGTGGGTAAAAGAGGAAAAATGTGGAAAGAAGAGTAAGAGACACGAAGGGTTATTGGGGTTCAGAGATAAAGGGAGGTTAAGAGGCACACAAGTACAAGGGAGAAGAGGGGTAAAAACACACACAAAAAAAAACCTTGGAGGGAGATTTATCCAAAATGCAGTTCCCAACAAACCTAGGTACATGTCTGTTCATGTTCTTTATATCTTTTAACATGAGTGTGTTATTTATGGTATATTTATTTTAATAAAGTGATTAAAAATAGGATAAATATCTTCAGTATGTCAATTATCATCCCAAAGGCCAACGAAGTGCTGAAGAAATTCCTTGATGAGAAGGAGAAGATTGAAACCACTATTTTGCAAACTGATCAGTCTCTGACCGAAAATGAGAAAATGATGGCCGGTAAGATGGAACCAGGAATTTTGGAAGTCCCCATTACAGTTCAGTTCAGTTAAAGGGACACTATAGGCATCAAAACAACTTTAGTTTAATTAAGCAGTTTTCATGTAGAGATCTTGTTCCTGCTGTCTCACTGATCAATTTTCTGCCATTTAGGAGTTAAATCACTTTTGTTTCTGTCCATGCAACCCTAGCTACACCTCCCTGTGACCATAAAAATTGTTTAACCCCTTCACGATCGTTGACGGTTCAGGACTGTCATCGGAAAAATCCCCTTGAGGACCGGTGACGATTCTGAACCGTCATAATGGAAATATTTGCTCACCAGGAAGTCCCCCTGCTGGTGAAAAAAGTATTAAAAAGTTATAATAAAGCAATCATAGATATTATATATATATATATATATATATATATATATAAATAAAACAAGGGGGGTTGGCTGCACTCACCTGAACATGCATAAATGGGGGTGCTGCTGGGGGCCAAATAACAACAATACACAAGATCCAGCGCACTCACCTATCCACTAAACAGCAACTTCAATGTTGAAAGATTTTATTAGTTTTTTTTTAAAAACACCTAATCTAGGCAAAAATAATGGGTGTTTAGTTACATTATATGATTATACATTGCATAAGCCTGCCACAACATCAATGTACCCCATCTTTGGCAGGTCTTATATACATAATGTCAAACTAAGTGTATTTTTATATTTATATATATATAAATATTAATATACAAATACACTTATAATTAAATTACACACACACACATATATATATATATAAATATATATATATATATATATATTATACAATATAAATAATAAGTAAATAAAAATAAATTTTTTTAAAAATAATTAATAAAAAAAATATATTTATATATATGTAATTTTATTCTAACTGTATTTTGATATTAATATTAAAATACACTTAGAATGAAATTATATATATATATATATATATATATATATATATACATACATATCTATGTATATATAAATAAATAAAATAATACAATATATATATCTATATACAAAATTGCATAAATAATGTCATAAATATACACGTAGACTTCAAATATATAAATATGTATATATATTTAAATTCTATGTGCATATTTTTGTAATAATATTACATAATTAAGTCATTTTATTGTTTGCAATTTGAAGGACCTGCCTGACAACCCAGGCCAAAAGTCCAGAGAATTGAATTTGCTTGCACTGTATTTAACCCTGTAACATAACATGACAACCTAACACCTGTACATTGGGGGTACTGTTTTACTCGGGAGACTTCACTGAACACAAATATTAGTGTTTCAAAACAGTAAAGCATATCACAGTGATGACATTGTCAGTGAAAGTGCCTTTTTTTGTATTTTTCACACAAACAGCACTTTCACTGATATCATTGTTGTGATACGTTTTACTGGTTTGAAACACAAATATTTGTGTTCAGCGAAGTCTCCCGAGTATAACCGTACACCCCATTTACAGGTTTTTTAGTGTTTTTGAAAGTTACTGGGTCAAATATAAGACTTGATTTCCTTTTTCTTTTACATTGAAATTTGCCTGGTTGGTTAAGTTGCTTTTGAGAGCATATGGTAGCCCAGGAGTGAGAATTACGCCCATGATGGCATACCATTTGCAAAAGAAGACAATCCAAGGTATAGCAAATGGGGTATGTCCAGTCTTTTTTAGTAGCCGCTTAGTCACAAACACTGACCAAAGTTAGCGTTCATAATTGTGTTTTGTATTTTTAACGCACAAATAAATATAAATGCTAACTTTGGCCAGTGTTTGTGACTAAGTGGCTACTAAAAAGACTGGACATACCCCATATTGAATACCCTGGGTTGTCTACTTCAAAAACATATGTACATATGGGGTATGATTCAGATATTTATGTCAGATAACAGTGTTACAATGTCACTAATGATACATTTTAAAAATATATATTTTGAAACCCCAATATCCTACTTGTAGCTATAGCCCTATAACTTGCAAAAAAGCATGTAAACACTGGGTGTTTTTAAATTCAGGACAACATTTTGAATCTACTTAACAGTTTTTTTTTCATTAGCTTTTGTAGATAAGTAAAATAGTTTTCAAGTAAAAGTAAAAAAACATTTTTTTAAATGTTTCACCATATTTTATTATTTTTTTTAAAGTAAATTATATGACATGATACAAATAATGGTATGTAAAGAAAGCCCTTCTTGTCTTGAAATAAACAATATATAATTTGTTTGGGAACAGTAAATGAGAGAGAAGACAATTACAGCTAAACACAAACACCACAAAAGTGTTAAAACAGCCCTGGTCCTTAACGAACAACATGGCCAAAACAGTCTGCTTCTTAAGGATTTCATTTTCAATCACATGTTAACTTCCTTTCAAAGTTTTTATCTCCTGCTCTGTAACTTGAACTTTCATCACACATAGCAGGCTTCTGTGGAGTTTAGAGGGCAATTCAAATAGCAGGAGATAAGAGATTCTAAATTAAAACAAACGTGCACTAAAAGAAGTTTAAGCATTAGAGCAGGACGTATTTAGAATAGCATGCTCAGAGATGTGACTAGGGCTGCAGAAACAAAGTGCTTTAAATCCTTAATGGTAGAGAATTGAATGGTGAGATTACAGAGGCATGATCTATACACCAAAGTATATATTATTTATATATTATTATGTGATTTCTATGAACTATATATTGGGAGATATGCCTGATAACCCAGGCAAACACATCAGGGGTTGTGAGTGAAGAGGATACTACAGGTTGCTAGCGTGCCAGGAATACATAGTTACATAGGCTGAAAAGAGATATATATCCATCAAGCTCAGCCTCTCTCACATTTGATTTTTGCTGTTGATTCAAAAGAAGGCAAACAAAGCAGTCTGAAGCACTTCCAATTGTGCAGCAAACTAGGAACAAATTCATTTTTAACCCCAGATTAAGAAGCTATTATCCCACTAAATAAAAATGTCTCTGTCTATTATGTTTTTACAAGTATTTATCCAATTGCTGTTTAAACATCTGTATAGACTCTGATAAAACCACCAGAGAATCCCATATCCTTATTGTTCTTACTGTAAAAAATAATTTCCTTTGCTTTAGACTAAATCTCCTTTCTTACAGTCAAAATGCGTGATCTCTTGTACTATGTATAGTCATATTTATGAATAGATTTCTGGTCAATGGTTTGTATTGGCCCTAAATATATTGTTATAATGATATCATATGCCCTCTAAGGTGCTGTTTTTCCAAACTCAAGAGATTTACATTTTTTAACCTCTTTTCATAACTAAAATGCTCCATTCCTTTTATCAATTTTGTAGGCAGCCACTGCACTTTTTCTAGTGCCATAATATCCTTCTTTAGAACAGGTGTCCAAAATTACACAGCATATTCAAGGTGTGGTCTTACCAGTGATTTATAAAGAAGCAAAATTATATTTTCATCCCAAGAATTAATGCCCCTATTTCTACATGACAATACCTTACTGTTGATTAACATTGCATATTGTTGCCTAGTTTATTGTCTATAACAATTCCCAAATCCTTCACATTTTGTTGTTATCCCTAATTTACTACCATTTAGGGTGTAAATTGGCTGTGCATTCTTTACCCCATATTTTTCCAGACTACATTCCATCTGCCATTTGAGTGCCGCCCCCAATCTATTTAAATCCCTCAGCAGCAAAGCAATATCCTGCTCACATTGTATTACTTTACAGAGTTTTGTTTCATCTGCAAACACTGAAACATGGCTTTTAATGATCAAGATCATTTATAAATATGTAAAATAGAGGCAACCCCAGAACAGAACCCTGAGGGACACCACTTACCACTTTTATCCAGCTTGAAAATTTACCATTAATGACAACTCATTGTACTCTATCCTTAAGCCAATGTTCTACCCAAGAACAATAATTTACGTCTAGACCAATTTCTTTTAGTTTGAAAACAATTTTGTATTCTTAGCCTATAGCTTCTCTTTAAGCAAAGTCATTTGGGTGATTTTTGACATGTTAGTCATGTCCTGATCACATCTTTTTCACGTTTGACTTTATTTGTCCTTATATCAGTTGTTTGTTTTGTTTGCCCTATTGCACTAGACAGCAGAATAAAAGTGGATTCTTAAAAATGTATAATAATAATAATCTTATGATGAGCAAAACACCTATAAAGAATAATATATATATATATATATGTAAAAACAATTCACAGCACAAAAAGCTCAGTCAGAAGCTATAGAAAGAGAAAAAAAGATTGTGGAAGAGAAAAACTGGAGACTGCAAGAGACCATGGAGGCTGAGAAAAGGAGCCAGGAACTACAGTTGGCAATGATACAAGAGAAGAATGAGCAGGATAGAAATACGCTGATAGAGGAGAATAAATGGCTCATCGAAGAGAAGATGAAGGTAAAGTAATAAAGAGACTAACGCAGTAACCCAAAACCAGACCCGACTGGGTGATATATTTATTGAGCCCAGAAATAAATGGTACCTTTGCTTGTATTTTCATTTAGTGCTGATGCTATGTAGAGCTCTTCTAGATGGACCTTAGAATTCGTAGACAAAAATTAAATCTCCCAAACGAAAGGACACTAACTTTTAAAAAATATTTATTTTGGGGTCATTGAGTGAAAGTACAGGCAGAAAATATTATTGGAATATTGTTAGTGCAATTAACCTAATCCCTCCCAAACCCCATGTAAGCATGTCTACCCAGGCAAACTTTCATTTATCATTACAAAGCCTCATTTACTTTTCACTTTGCTCCAGTGTCAGTCTTCATCTGGCAGAGGTACAAGTTTCTTAGCAAAGGATGTGAATGCAAGATTTACCTATTTCTTCCCACTTTAGAAAAAAGGCTTTTTGTTGGTCAAAATACAGAATGCAAACTTGCGTCCATTGATCCAGCCAATGGGGCTAAATGGTGTATTTCCAGGTTTTCATACTAGTGTGTAAGTACAGTTTAGTCATATTTGTATACAGGAAAAGGACAACATGATGAAAGAAGGGATGAAGAAACAATGTGAAATGCTGGAATATGAGATTCAACAGCTGAAGAGGCAACAGGAAGAAGCCAAGGGATCTTTCCTGGGTAATGTGATATCTGGAATTTTACCAGGGGTGTTTTCACGTTTTGTGAAGAAAATATTTTAATACCAAGCATGTATAACATCCTGTAGGATTTGAAATAATATTCAGCAAGTAATATTTTTGTTTTACTGAATACTTTGTAGTTTAAAGTTTCTGTGTCACAAATATAACATTATATCAGATTCTGTTACTGAAGATTATCATGTTAAAATGTGAAAATAGCACAATAAAAAATGTATTATGTAACAATTTGTTTTATTATTGTATTCTATTTATTGCAGTATTAGTAGTCAACGTTTAATATACAATTATGAAAGAGAGTGAAGAACAATATGCTGGTTTGGCTTCATATTGGGGAATGTGTTTGTAGTTTACTCCAGGCTACAGGTAGCCACTCGTGTCCTATATTTTGGGGGTATATAATCACATACCTCCCACCTCTAGCATCCTGAGAATCATATCATTAGCTCTGTCGTAAAGGGGCCAGCAAGGGGCGCGTCCACCCAGGTTCATGGCAGGTCAGCCCGGGGTGAATGCACACCAGACTGTTTATCCACAATTTAATCTAGCCCACTGAGGGCAGACCTGCACCAAACAATATTTCAGTGCCCCCTGCAGGGTCCTAGTGCTCTGAACATAGCGCATGCGCGTCTCATGATGCACTTGTGCTATGATTGTTCGGGGCAGTATCCTAATTTTCTCAACAGCAGGACACCAGGGAACTAAGGTGGAACAGAACCCGGAAATTTGGACGGCCCTGACAAAATCGGGACAGTTTAGGCGCATGTAATCTGCATGCCAACTTCAAACAGTGTGCATGGCGTGTTTGTTTGTGTACTTGTTCATACCTTAGGATGTGATCCTGTCGCACTTATGTAGATAAAATATCCACAGATCTCTTTATCACTAACTGTGTGACTTCCTGGATCAGCCGGTAAATTCCATGAAAACATTGGGAGACTATACGACACATTAGTGCACGATGGAAGCTTCTACAAATGGCATGGCAGAGTAACTCTAATACACACACTGTGGAAAACATGACTGATTTATCAATTATTGTACCCAATGCAACTGGCCCTTCTCATTTGATATTCATGCATACTATACATATATTTAATATACGTAAGATATTATATTCCTGTTTTTCAATAGTGTGACACAAATAAAATAATTATAAAACTTGTGTATGTTGCCCACGGGAATAAAATACATTTAGAATATGTTTGATTCAATTTATCTGAATTGTTTGCAATGACCTGTTAGAATCCCTATATCAACACCAACACAAATATAGTGTCTTAGCAGACTTTCTGTGACTCTACCATGACACTATGACACTTTCAAATATGAATACCATGACACTTAATAAGGAAAATTGTTTGCTACTTACCATATTTTTTTTCCTTGATATTTTTTTTTCCTTTTAACCGTGGCAACATTAACCTTTGGGTTAGCTGCTCCCCTGACTCATCTTCACCTTTCTCATTTAAAAAACAAACAAAACAAAAACAGTAATCTACAGGTAACTAATTTGAACCTGTATCTTTGCTAATGTATTCACAAAGTGTACTGTACTTAGGAGACGTAGATGAGTAAAGTTTTTAAAGAAATTTTAATACAATAGCACACATGAGGTTTACAAAATATGGTGCATAAATACAATGTGTATGTAAACAATATAAAAAATATACCATGGGGGCGGGGCCTGATCGTCATGGTGGAAAGACATATCCTAAACAAGCTCCTCCACTATTCTGAGAAAAAAAGGCATTATCTAGGCTCTTACTGCTCATGTTAAGATAAAAACTCCTGCATTATCAGATCCTCACCTAAGGGAACTCACCTTGCAATAGGGAACTCAACATGCAACCAGAGCCTAATTGCTCCACATTCAGGCTCTGCCCTGTAATCAGACTCAAAGCACTCTGATTAAGCCATGCAATCAGAGTGCTCTGACAGGTAAATGAAGAGACTGACAGGTAAGTCTCAACATTTACCTGTTACAGCACTCTGGTTAGCTGGAAATCCACCAATCAGAGTGCTCTGTATCCTTTTACACAGCGTGGGAAAGGTCTTTGGAATTTTCCCATGCTGTGTAATTTGACTCATAACAACACTCTGATTGGTGTATGTTTGGGTTGGAGTTCGGTGTTCGGCAATCTAATGGCGCGTTTTGAAAGGCTGCAGGGCAGCCAATCAACAAGCGTTTGAATCGTGTGCAGCATGGGACCCAGCCTCTATATATAAGCTGGAGTCGCATAGCGCCGCATGCACATGAGGTCTAATTAGTGTAGGGAGAGGATGCTGCCGCTGTGAGGGACAGCTTAGGAAAGAATTCTACAAACTAGTACATTAGTAGGGTGCACTTCATATCTGAGAGTCAAACAGAAGCATCAAATACTGCGCTTACTGCGCAGTTGTAAACATTATAATTGTTTTGGTGCTAAACTGCTAAATAGTACATTTTGGGGCCTGCTCTTCATATCTGAGAGTCAAATAGAAGTGTCTAATAGTGAGCTTACAGGGCAGTTGTAAACATTCTTTGTGCTAAACTGCTAAATAGTACATTTTGGGGGTGGCAGGAGTGTACCTAGAGCATCCCCCCCCCCCCAACTTTAAATATAAAAACAACCAATTTGTATTTAAATGTATTTAGCACTACGCAGTGTTTGTGTGTTTGAATGTATGCATGTTTTTGTATGGAGTATATGTGAGTGAATGTAGCAGTGTGTTTGTATGTAGTGTTGGCTTTGAATGCAAGCATGCATTTGTGTGTTGTGTGGTATTTGAATGCAGTGGTATGGTTATATATAATGGTGGGGTCTGTATGTAGTGTTGACGTTGAAATGCATGAGTGTATTTGTGTGTAGTATTGGCGAGCTTTTTAGATGTCTGCACATATACACGTACACACATGCAGATACATATACACACAAACACTGTCACACATAGATACACATTGACACACATACAGACATCGTGGCGACTCTAGGAACAATATATATGGGGGGGCACATAAGATAGCACAGTCAAAACAGGAAGGGGAGGGGGAGCAGTAAAACTTCTCACTAGGGGATGAGGTAAAATGCCGCCCAGTGGTGTATCCTGGTTTTGTGCTGCCCTTGGCAGGACAAAACTCAGGCGCCCCTCTCTCCCCCCCACCGCGCCACTTCCACCCAACCCTCCCCTCCGCCCCGCCTTCTAAATACACACACGCACAAATTCACTGACAGATACGCATACACTAGCTAACAGAAACACACACACACTAACAGACACACTCACTAACAGACACACACAGACACACACTCACTAACAGACACTCACAGGCAAACACACTCACACTAACAGACACACTCACTCACTAACAGATACACTCACACTCACTAACAGACACACACACTAACCGTCACTCACTCACTAACAGACACACACACACTAACAGGCACACACACTAACAGACACACACACTCACTAACAGACACACTCACACTAACAGACACACACACACACTAACAGACACACTCACACTCACGAACAGACACACACACACTAACAGACACAGACACACTAACACACACTAACAGACACACACACACAGTCAGACACACACACACACACACACTAACAGACACACTCGCTCACTAACAGACATGCTCACACTCACTAACAGACACACACACTAACATACACACACTAACAGACACACACTCACTCACTAACATATACACTCACTAACAGACACACACACACTAACAGACACACACTAACAGGCACACGCACTAACAGACACACACTAACAGACATACACACACTAACAGACACACACACTAACAGACACACTCACTAACAGACACACTCTCACTAACAGACACACACACACTAACAGACACACACACACAATAACAGACGCACTCACACTCACTAACAGACACACACACTAACAGACACACATACACTAACATACACATTCACACTCACTAATAGATACACACACACTAACAGACACACACACAATAACAGACACACACACACTAACAGACACACATTGAAACACACACACTAACAGACATACGCAAAACGCAGGCGCCCCTCTATCCCCCTCCGCGCCACTCCCACCCAACCCTTCCCCCCGCCCCGCCTTTTAAATACACACACACACACACATTCACTGACAGATACGCATACACTAGCTAACAGAAACACACACACACTAACAGACACACTCACTAACAGACACACACAGACACACACTCACTAACAGACACAGACACTCACAGGCAAACACACTCACACTAACAGACACACACACACACAGTTAGACACACACACACTAACAGACACACTCACACTAACAGGCACACACACTAACAGACACACACACTCACTAACAGACACACTCACACTAACAGACACACACACACACACACACTAACAGACACACTCACACTCACGAACAGACACACACACACACACACACACTAACAGACACACACACAGTCAGACACACACACACACACACACACTAACAGACACACTTTCGCTCACTTAACAGACATGCTCACACTCACTAACAGACACACACACTAACATACACACACTAACAGACACACACTCACTAACAGACACACACTCACTAACAGACACTCACACTAACAGACACACACACACACAACAGACACACTCACTCACGAACAGACACACACACACACACACAGTCAGATACACACACACACACACATAACAGACACACACAAGCTCACTTAACAGACATGCTCACACTCACTAACAGACACACACACTAACATACACACACACTAACAGACACACACTCACTCATTAACAGATACACTCACTAACAGACAGACACACACTAACAGACACACACACTAACAGACACACGCACTAACAGACACACACTAACAGACACATACTAACAAACACACACTAACAGACATACACACACTAACAGACACACACACCAACAGACACACTCACTAACAGACACACTCTCACTAACAGACACACACACACACTAACAGACGCACTCACACTCACTAACAGACACACACACTAACACACACACACTAACATACACATTCACACTCACTAATAGATACACACACACTAACAGACACACACACACACAATAACAGACACACACACACTAACAGACACACACTGAAACACACACACACACTAACAGACACTAACAGACATACACACACACTCACTCACTCACATTAACACAATTTTTTGTTTTTTATTTAACCCCCCCAGCCTCTTTACCTTTGGGAATGCTGGGGGTGGTTCCCTCTGTCCCTTGGGGTCCAGTGGCTGTGATGTCATATTCCGGCTCCCAGCCTCACTCTGCGGCGCGCGAGGGAGCTGAGCAGACAGCTCAGAGGAAGTGCTCCCTCGCCAGTGCCGCCCGCCCGCCCGACCGTCATGTCAATTAGCTGTATGTGATTAAAGTTCACTTTAAAGAGCAGGGGGTAAAAAAGACATCTTGTAAAGCAAGTTAAAGGAACAATTTAGTATTAAGAATATAAAGATGTATTCCTAACACTAATGTGTTTCTCTGCCACCAGGGTTTTCATTGATGCTGGATGTCCTCAAGCAGAGTCTAAGGATGTCCAGTATTGTTTCATGGAATCAAACTCTTTGAAACTTCAGGAGGTGCCCCTAGTAGACAGCCACTTGAGGCAATTTTAGTACTGCAATGTAAGCATTGCAGTTTCTCTAAAACTAATGTTTTACATTGCACCCAGAACACTTCAAACCGATAAGTGCCTATAGTGTCCCTTTAATATCTGATTGCATACGAAACCATTTTTCATGCAGGATGTTTCAGTCACAGCCAGGGGAGTTGTGCTAGGGTTGCATATACAGTAGCAAAAGTGATTTAACTCCTAAATGGCAAAGAAGTGATCAATGAGACTGCAGGGTCATGATCTATACATAAAAACTGATTTATTAAGCTAATGTGGTTTTTTTTTTGTGTGACTATAGTGTCATTTTAAAGTTGTACTATATGTTTTTAAGTAAGAATAGAAACATTTAATTATTCATTTTTATTAGAATGTGCCCCATGTAGGAATGCTAAGTAATATGATATATTTATAGATCTTCACTAATTATTTTAAAAAATGACTTTTAAGAGAAACTACTATAAAAGAAGCTATCTTTCTATATGAAACAAAGAACCAGCTATATATTACCACAAGTCGAGACTTTATTACGTTAAAGCTTAAATCACCGTACTTTCCAATACAAAGCAGAGAGACCTTCAACTATACGCCAAGATCTTAACAAATTGGTATATGAGTATAAGTGTCATAGTTTAATATTAGTGCATTTTCATAGACTAAATAAATCTTGAAATATTATTTTACATCAGTTATTTCACCAACATGACATTATTTTATATAAGACGTGTCAGCGCTTAGTGGATCTGTCCCGAATGTGATATTCTCTGGGATACGACAGTCATAGATTATAGAGTCCGAGATCCAATATAAGTATCGAGGATCCAATGCTGCATTAACTGTGTCCACTTCTGTATCAGTTCCCGGTTTTACCTTAAAGGACCACTCTAGGCACCCAGACCACTTCAGCTTAATGAAGTGGTCTGGGTGCCAGGTCCTTCTAGGGTTAACCCATTTTTTTTATAAACATAGCAGTTTCAGAGAAACTGCTATGTTTATGAATGGGTTAAGCCTTCCCCTAATCCTCTAGTGGCTGTCTCATTGACAGCCACTAGAGGCGCTTGCGTGCTTCTCACTGTGATTTTCACAGTGAGAGCACGCCAGCGTCCATAGGAAAGCATTATGAATGCTTTCCTATGTGCGACGAGCTGAATGCGGCGCAGCTCCCGTAGCGCTGGAAAAAGGTAAGTTTTTACCCCTTTTCCCCTTTCCAGAGCCGGGCGGGAGGGGGACCCTGAGGGTGGGGGCACCCTCAGGGCACTATAGTGCCAGGAAAACGAGTATGTTTTCCTGGCACTATAGTGGTCCTTTAAAAATTACAAGGAAACAGCAACATAGTGTAACACTGTAAAATGTATGGAAACCCTCTTTCATCCACCCAAATAGGTACTCTTACTATATATAGTTGTGGTACTGGTTTCCAAGTCTCACTAAAATAGCACAGGGTACATTCAAGCCAGTGGTACAGTCAAGATGTTACCAGTTCTGTCGAATGGAGGTGCAGACTGCTCAGTGCATTCGAGCCGACTTTCAGCACTACTAATCTGGAAGAACGCTGACTTTCCTTCCCGCTTGGAGATGACCCTCGTGGATAAAAACAAGATAGTAAAAAACTTGTTCGGCACTATCTACGCGTTTCGCCCATCTGCTGTGGGCTTTCTCAAAATAGGTGCCACGGACAATTTTCAGTGTCTTTATACCCTGCTCTCGAGATGGAAGCACAGGATTTCTTAAAGGTACAGACTAAAATACACATACAACTTTCAGAAGGCTGAAATGTCTTTTCAGATCACATTTTCTAGCACATTAAAACGATACATTTTTGTGTTAATAAAACAATTCTTAAAAGGTTCTCATTATTAGATTACATTCCTTGAGACATAAAATTGAAAACTGAATTTGTGATTTGATGGATAAAAGGCTTTAGGGATGCATATAGTTTTTCATTTGGCTGAAAAAAGAAGTATGTATATCTTGCAGTACGTGGTAGGTGTTACCAATAACTCATCATAGAAAATAGAGTTATATAATAGTTATCACCCCAATCTAAACCGTTTTTTTTGCCAATATCAAATTGTTGAGACCATGGAGGGTTATAGTGGAAAGAGGTGTGTGACAAAAATAGAGGGAGCGTATCAAATAAACGGCAAATCAAAGTGTGTCAAATGAAACAGCCTTGCACTCTATCCTAAATTATGCTGAAGGAGAACCTAAGGTTCTTAGAAATTACTTAGGATATTTTGGTCACAAAACGTATTCTTATCTACATCAAAAATTTCTGATAGAATTGAAGAATTGGGGGGGGTAATTTTCACTGACAATGTGCAAGATCATGAGAGTTTATAGACAAAACATATAATATAGTAAATATTGACTGAAACTACTTTTTTTAGTGTAATTTTTTTAATTGAATTATGTATCATAAAACATTTAACATAAATAGACATACAACAAAAAATAATGATGATTCATTCTGGAATCAAGCATCACAATAATCATACCATAAACACAGATGGATACCACATTACACTTATAACCATTATGCATATTGTTGTTATAGTCGCATTCGTATCTATACAATAATACAAGTTACTTGTATAAAATAACCATAATACTAAGGACTTATAGATTTACATTTTCCTTATTTCCTGTTTTTAAATCCCTTTTTTTTTTGTTTCTTATAAGTCCTCTGTGTAACTGTATTGACTATCTTATTACCCATGCATTATTGTATTTTCTGTGATTATGTCCCATCCATACAGGCAAGTACATATATTAAAACTTAGTTTGGGTTAATTCTTATGACCTTAAATATATAATTTTTCCTTTTAACTCTATCTTACTTCCCCATTTTCTTTTTTTTTTCTTTCCCCTTTCCCACTCGTCCCTTCACGCATTCACCTTTTTTATCCCTCCATAAGATTAATATCTGTTATCAGGGTATTATAAACCTCTCTTGTTATATTGTTTTTATGGACATTGTACCAGATTACTCCCTTTTCCATCTCCATTTGGTTTTGAATTTGGCCCTTTAGTTGGTATATATTGGGGACTGAAACTTCTTCTATATGTAAAATGACAGGTTCTCCGTATGAGAAGGTAGACACTTTCCAGTCCTCTGTCATGGGTCAAAAGTTTGATATAAATGATTGCCTTGCACGTAACTCTAAACAGGTTATTTATCTGTTGAGCTGTCCATGTGCTCTTAAGTATGTGGGCTAGACTAAACAAATGCTGAAGAATAGATTGCGAGAACATACCTATCAGGAGACAATTCGAAAAACAATCACTATCATACCATTTTAAAACTTATCACAATAGTAATACCGGTGTACTAACATATTGTGGCATCCAAAAAATAAATATACCATGGAGAGGAGGAGAATTGGCAAAGAAATTGACGTATCAAGAAATGCACTGGATTTTTTTATCTTAAGACATTAGCACCTCCAGACCTTAATGCTGAACTAGAGTTAGCCAATATCTTATGAGTTTATAAATGTATTGTGGAATAATGTTCACAACAGAAACTTATTTATAATTATATTTTAGAATGATTTTTCTTTTCTTTTTGATCTTCCTATCCGTAGTTTTGGCATATGCTAACCCACTTTTCTCAAAGATCCACCCATGGAGTGAGACCGATAAGGCTACAGTATAATTCTATATAAATCCCCCTCCCGTTTCTGACTCTCTTAGGGATTTTCTAGACCTCTTGAGACTTTTTAGATCTCTAAAGGTTTCTAATAGGGCTTTTTTTTACATTCAGTACAGGAGCTCCACGTATATATTCTGCACTGCTTTCTAATTTAACCAGGTAGAAAGGAGAAAAAGAATGGTTTTGCTGTTCGTATGTTTTCTTAAGAATTGTATATTATGTTTTTTAAGGAATTCTAAATGTAAATGTAAAAGTTGTAGTTTCCGTCAATATTCACCATATTATTTGTTTTGTCTATAAAATCACATGCCCTTGCACACCAGGAGTGAAAATTACCCCCCTAATTCTTCAATTCTATCAGAAATTTTCAACGTAAAAAAACAACAAAGTTATGGTGGGGAAACGATTGTGATTGAAAACCCCTTCCACCTGAAGTCTGTGGATAGTTAATACAATGTTAAACAAAAATCTGCACAACAGTCTAGCCATAAGAGTTGCTTTTCCCACAGAAATAAAACATTAGCAGTGATGCTACTACCACAAAGGATTCTGGGTGGGCATATGCAAATTCAAATCATTCCATTTTAAATATGGATTTGAGTCTGTGTTTGCTGGATTCAACAGCTTTGAAACACAACTTGGGAAAAGATGCAAAGCCAGTGAACCACTCATGGACAGCTGTTTCATTGTTAATGCAAATCATCAGCATGAGGTTGGTTACTGGTTTGCTATTGAGGTTTGGCAGTACTTGCGAAGCAAAAAACAAAAAAGTTAAGTTCACTGGCTTTGAATCTTTTCCTCAGTTGTGTTTCAAAGCTGTTGTATACAGCAAACACTGACTCAAAGGAATCCATGTTTAAAATGGAATGAGGCAAAAAAGTGATTCTTTGTTGAACTAATTTGCATATGCCCACCCAGAATCCTTTTCGGTAGTAGCATCACTGCAGATTTGTGATTTCTGTAGAAAAAGCAAGTCTTATGGCTTGACTGGTGTGAAGATTTTTGTTTAACATTGTATTGACTATCCACTGAAATTTTCAATGTAGATAAGAATAATTTTTGTGACCAAAATATACAAAGTAATCTCTAAGAACCTTAGGTTCTTCTTCAGCATAATTTAGGGTAGAGTGGAAAGCTGTTTCATTTGACACGCTTTGATTTGCCGTTTATTTGATACGCTCCCTCTATTCTTGTCATACACCTCCATGTACCTCCACAGTCTCAACAATTTGATACTGGCAAAAAAAGGTTTAGACTGGGGTGATAACTCTTATATAACTCTATGTTCATGATGAGTTATAGGAAACATCCACCATGAACTGAAAGATAGTACATTATAGATAGACTGTATAGTACATTACAAGGACACTATAGGCACCCAGACCACTTCACCTCATTGAAGTGGTTTGGGTGCACCGTCCCAGCATCTATAAACCTGCAAAGCTAAATATTGCAGTTTTTTATAAACTGCAATAGTTAGCATTGTGGGATAACTCCACCTCTAGTGGCTGTCTACTAGAAAACCACTAGAGTGACATCCGGCTGTTATTTATTTATGGATGCAGTGCAATACTACTCGATGTGTTTAGTTTCTCCAATCAGATGACTCTAACAGTGTCCACCACAATTGATAATTGTTATATTTATATATCACCAAAACTGACCTTAATTACATGACAACAGTAGTGTGTACAGGAATTACACATTTCCTGCCTTCCATACAGAGACATAAAAGTCTGGGAAATGTCAACAGTAAAATAATATTTACCTTTCCGTAGCAATGGGAATGCAGGCCTCATAACAGTAAGGGAATAGTCCATATTTTGGGGTCTATTTTGGGGTCTGTCCCTATTTTGTTCCTTGGTCTCCCATATCCAGGAAACTGATCCCTGCCATAACGTTTGAATAAATTGTGAATACCCTTGCTGTGGCGACTCTAGGAAAAATAAATGGGGGGTGGGGGCGCACATAAGATACTATAGTCAAAACTGGGGACACTAATACTTTCCACTAGGGGTGGGCTAAAATTTGCACAGAATTTACATTAGCCTCATAGAATTCTTGGTTTATGACACCTCTTAATTTTCAACTATTTAGCAGTTAACTTCCCTAATTCCTGTCTTTATGTAAGATAGCCATATTTAAGGACACCAAAAAAAGGGAGCTATCTGTTAAACATATATGACGTTATATCACACTTCAAGGCGTGCAAGAGAGCTGTACAGGAAGAGCACAGTAAGTAAAGAGCTGCCTTACCTCATGTACTTCCCTTTAGTCCAGAAATGCTTATATTTTTCAAAGTGGGTACTTGCCTACACTGTGAAAGGGTAGCTGCTGGTGGGAGCCCACTGAGCACTGGGCCACTACGTGGGGGGCACAAGTGAGGGGGGCCAATGAACAATCACCCCACCTGCAATGACACCATAGTTCCCTTCTAATATTGGCTTGTAGTTATGAATAAAAAAAAATTCTATTGACATGAGATGTATTTGCAATCAAGAGAAATAAATGAATAAATTTTGATGTTTGTTTTTTTCTTTCGGCAACATGAGTTTTAAGCAAATTATTCTATGCAAGAATGTCAAAACGTACCCCTGTTTGGCTATGTACTTACAAAGGTTTGGTTTGTATTTGCACATGTGGCATATGTATTAAATAACATATTATACAACTTGCATGCATACGTTATTGAGTTTATGGAAAACTTACTCTCTGCACTACTTGGAGAGTGTTTATCAACTATGCTTTTTTGGACTTTAATGTTGGATTTTAACTCGCTACAACTCACATTTTGGTAAATAAGCCCCAGCTAAAAAAAAGGTAATGTTAAAAAAAGCTTAGACTCACTCACTGTGGCTTAGACAGAATTGAATTGAATGGAATTGAATAGTCCAGACTATAATGTCAAGCAAGAAAATAAATAAATACAATTGGTGCTTTATAATATAAAATATATAAATATATAATATCAAATATAAAAACGTCTCATTTTATTTCTCCAGCAAAGACATCCATGTATAGTCTGACTGTTCCACTGCAAACAAACTTGTGGGGACATGTCCTTCATTGTGAAGTTGGAGAGCATCAGGTGTTCGAGGGATGGTTCACACACAAAGATCTGTGATGAGCAGAGCTCCATCGAATCCTTCTAGATACTGTGCAAAACTGGAACAATTTATTCTGATTACTCAAAATATACCACAATTAAAATTATTGACAATTGTTATATCAGACATATGTACCATTCTTCATATTAAAGTAAGAGGTACAGTTTACTAACAACTGCGTTGAAACAAACAATGTATTTAAAGGCGTCAAATGACCTCATGTCACATTAGTAAACAGCGTGCAATACACACTGTTTACTAATGTGACATTAGGTCATTAGACGCCTTTAAATACATTGTTTGTTTCAATGGCCAATGTTTCCCTTAAAGTAGATAAGGTGCTGTAATTTATACGTGTATATACATTTTTTTGAATACGTACAAGGTGATGTTTGCAAACCAGATTTTATATTTTTTATTTTTTTGGGTTAGTGTTTTTTTTTTGCAATCTAAAAGCATAGAAAATTGATAAGCAGATCATATTATTCCCCCTGGAGTTTCATAGCGACGCAGGGCCATTAAATAATATCCTGAACTAATTCAGACTCACAGGTCCAATATATGATCTTGATGACAGAAAGTGCAGAACATAAAAACAGTAAAGTAGCATCAAGCTAAATAGCTCCTCCGCAATACCCTGAAGTCTTGCAGAAACGATTGATTATACAACTGCATCCCTACTATCGTGTTCCTAAACTTGCTCAGTCATCAATACGTATTAGCTCATCAACCTGGACTACAAGAGAGAATTGTGAGCAGAAGCTAGCGCGGGAGCTGCAATTCGTCCAAATAGGGTGAATATACCCGACCGGTGACCCGAGACCTCCTGTAAGCCTGCTCCTCCTCTGCGGAAGGGCACCCGGTCTTCCCCGTTAGGTCTGTCAAACGTCTGTCCCTGAAAGTCGACTTGGTAAACTACCATCAATAAAGGTGTCTATTGTCCAGATTTCTTATGTTTATGTTCATTCTGGTTCATGTACAAATTTTATGTCTGTGAATTGTTCATTTAAATGACACGTACAATATAAAGAATTATTTTATTTTTAAAATTGTGTCTTTCTTAGTCCCATAAAAAAAAAAGTCCTGCATGCACACTATACTAACGTTGGTAAACCCTAAAAAAATGGGGTTTAGACTTAAACCCTTTCCATTATAAATTGACCCTAAAGTGTAACGATTTTGAGCTTTACATTAGGACTTAAGTTTTTAATCTAAGAAACAATATTGAGCATAGTGTTTAGACATGTACATGTACCTTGTAATGTGCTCTACAGATTAGTTTTTGGTCCAAGAAGCCAGCACTATCCTAAACTGAGCTATTCATGGTTTCTGTGAACATCTGTATAAGCAAGATGTGTCAAATGCTATGACACAAAGATGGCTGCCGTTGTTAAACGAAGTAAAATAAAAATAAAAACCTTGTTGTTTTTCAATACCCATATATAGAGGTAATCACTCAACGACATTTGAAAAATGAAAAATGGTCAAGCCACCTATGCTAGACCATTTGAGATTGATTAACCCAAAAACTAAAGAGATTGAACAGGGAGAAAAACAGGGCATGAAAATTAAACCAAAACCTATGAAGTGCACATGAATTTTATTGGTGCCCAGAGAGTACATTTAATTTTTATTTATCAGACCTCACAAACACATAATGGTTAAATGGATAAGCAAGGATAAGATGACAAGTAAACAAAATATTATAAATACCATTCTCAAAACAGCAATATTTTAAATTTCCTGACAAAACAAGTGTGTCTATGTACTAAAATGACCTTATTAAAAAGATATGTGTTTGGTACTTTAAGTATGCTTTTAAATTGTTTATTTACAAAATGCTACATTTAAAACAATAGAATATTTTAATTACAAAACTGTTATTTGTTGTCATGTATTGCTCCAGTTTTGTTTCACAAAATATGCTTTTGTTCTTTTTCTTTTTCTTTATAATTATATATATATATATGTGTAAGGCGTCTGTATAACCCTAATCAGGAAGGAAAAGTGGTCATGATTAGCACAATACTCTGAAGAGGCAAAATAACAGAAAAATATAGTGAGAAAAATGAAGTACATCACCAGACAGAGTATGTAGGCCAAAAGCCTATAAAATCTGAACAAAAGACAAGTCAAAAATAAAACAAGAAAAAACATGAAATGCTTATGAGTTACTAGAATCACAAAATGCAATAAACATTTTATGGCGTGTCATGATTTTAATACACCTAAAATGTCTGAGGAGAATTTTGCAAGATTTAGCGAGATACAAGATGGCCGCCATCCATACTTATAAACAGACTGCAAGGCCATGGAGCCGCGACTTCGCCAGAGCAAATAATCAGTGCGCCCCACACCACCACCACCCACAACACGACCCCAATACCCTGGAAACAGAAAAACAAGCAATGCACAACAGCATGATCGAGGCAATGGCGGCCTTGACGAGTGAGCAGTGGGAGCAGGTCCCCAGAGGATGAAAAGCCCAGACCTATAAAGAGGCAGGAATAAGTAGAGGTACTGGGACAGGGTGGGTTAAGAAAAGGCAATAAGACTATACAGTACAGAGGGTGGTAAGGCAAAGGCACACAATGAAAACTTTATGGAGTGTAAAAGCAAAGAATACAATAACAGTAAATCAATATAAGAATAAGGGAGCAAATTTATCTGACCTGTGTGGCAGGAGCAGCAAAGAAAAGGAGGAGTTAGAGTGGTGAGGGCTTTTTACACTGTCTTACAGTGTGTGTTCTTTGTTTTATTTTTGGTTAAACTTTATTGTTAAATCTGTGCTGCTAGAGTCCAGTAAAGAGAGTTAAATGCAAAATATTCGCCCCTTGATCATAATGGAATGAATTTGGCTGCACCGGAGTATGCATGTTCAATTGCAGTCCAGCATGACCAAACTGATGTCAGTTAGTTCTGTTAGAAAAATAGGTGGCATGGGAACAACCACGATCAATAACTCTGCCAGTATTTGAAGATGCTGCTCACAAGTAAATATTCCTTACAAAATGGTGCCGGAGGTATTTACAGTAATTAAACCAATGTGTCATGTTCGTCCATGTTCAAGGGTGGAGAAACAATTTAGTGCACACAGATGCAAACATTTAGTCTGGTTAACAGTATAAAGAGAGTGGGTTGGTGTACACAGGTATTTAAATGCCGGAAATGAACGAAACCATAAAGCTCTTGAGAAAGTCCTTCAGACAAAACGCGTTGAGCAAATTAATTTAAGAGGACACTTTTACCCCAGATTTCCTTCAGCCTCCAGCCATACCACAGGGATCACAAGGAACTTTCCATACATTCTGTCTCCATATCAGAATTTATTTGGACTGCTGGTGTCAAGAAATGCCTATGGTAACAGTGCCTTAGGAGTGGGGACTTAGCCCTTTATGTGGCTTCAGGTTTGTTTGCACAATCTTGATATACTTCATATTGTGCCACTTCCTTTGAGAGTGTGTTTTTATTTTATCTCTTTGATTTTATATCTGTTAATAAATACTACACTATGTAATTTTATATCTTTTATTTTTCATGTTCTACTCCTGGATGTGAGTGTTAATTATATCTGCACGTTTCGTGATTGTGGCGCCCTATGTTGTGGATCTTAGAGGTTCTACATATATTAGTTCTATTTGATTTGGATATTGGGGGTGATCCTTTTTAGTGGCTTGCCTACACTATTCCATCTGCACTTTTTCCATTTTACCTGCTTTTGCATTACATATATATCACACACAGTCAATACACCCATTACAAATATTGCATACAGCCAACACATAGCATACATATCACACACAGCCATCATGTCTGTCACACACCACACATGTAGCCATTTTCCAAGCTCCGGACAATCAGAATGTTGCCACGGATTGCCACAGAAAAGCTCTGACACTATAAGTGACTGAGCTCATTAGGCAGTTACTGATGGTCTGCACCCGGTGGAGGGGCAGACCAGATTCCTAGCACAATGGACCACCTGAAATCAGCATGCCACTCTCACAACAAGATACCAACAGGAAAAGGGAAATGAATACCTGTTTTTGTTTTTAAATAACTATTCCTTTAATAAACCCCCTATACAAACACTACCCTTCCTTACACACACTATATATGGATGAAGTGGAATGGCGGAGAGGGGGCGCTGTGAATATTTTTCGCACAGGGCACCTAAAGGCCTAAGACCGACCCTGTATATAAATACATTTTCCGCAGCGCTGTGCAATAGGGAAAAAAACATTACAGTATAAACAGACCAATGCAAAAGGTAGAGGGCCCTGCCAGTGAGCTTACAAATCATTTATTCCTTACTTTCACATAATAATGTACTCATTATACTATATGACCTGGAACTATCATTTCAGCTGATGAAACCAAAAATCAGGACAAATGAATGACTAATTTAAAATGCATTTTTTCTCTCTAAATTTCCTCACTGAGATGAACTTCTACAGTCTTCCAGCTTTGGGGAAGAAATAACAGCTGTCATTGCTCACTTTTTAAAAATGCAGGTATCGTTAAAACGAAATAAAGCAAAACATAGGTTTCATACATATACAAATATGTCTCTGTGTGCTATATTATATGATTTACAGTTATATTATGATGTCGCTGTCATCAGAACAAGTAGCCAACTGACCGCGCATGAACATTTCATTCTACCTCACAGCTGGCGTTGCCTAGCAATTGGCCAAACAAACAGGACAGATGGAATTATGAAGTGCACTATGATTTAAATCATTGTGCCAGTATCTGTTGTGTCCAGTGTTGACTAAACAGTTGGTTAAAAGATTTCCTAATTTCATAGATAGTCTGTGTATGAAATGGAGAGATTTCAAGGAACAGGTTTACCAAATGAGCAACAAGCTTCATCACTGTATGCGAATATACAGAATATTCCTTTATATATTACAATATATTAATATTAATATAAAGTAATTCCTGTGATATAATGTTATGGTCAAGCTAGCTATATTCATCACTGAGTTGTTTAAATTCACTGGCTGAGATTTGCTAAGGTTGCCGTTTGCAGTAATTCATATGAGACTGTGAACATTTTATCCTCACCCCTGGGCATTGCTCAACTGTCTATACCTTTTGTGCTGATTTTATAAAACTGAGACTCTATTGCTAGTAAAACGTATGTAATGTAAATTAGTAAAGTATCAAACATTTTGGCTCCAAATAACTTTAGTATGATACGTAGAGCCATTTCTGCTGGCTGTGCATCATGAGATTTGTAGTTCAGTCATTAGTCGCGTCGACAGAGTACTAGATATTGATATTTAAAAATACAGGCAAACCACATATCTGTTAAATTTCCCTCTTTCCCACTAAAACTGCACAT